CTAACATTTACTCCCATTTGTCTGAACTCCTCGACAAATGCCATAGTATTGCAGGGGTTGGCCACCACATCATCCATCGATATATACACCAATACTGGACACCCTATCCGATGCTTATGTACAGTAGTCGACGAGTGTATGAAGTGTTTTGTCGCAAAACTATGGCTAACATAGAGGTATACATTCATCGTAAGTGTAATTATATTTTGTAGCACAATATTAGGTGTCGATGCTTTGGCCAGTCCTATGGATATCTCATTCACATCTATCGCTGAATCAAATACAATGCCTTTCACTTGATTTTGTAGCTTTTGATACATTAATTGATTAAGTTTAAATAAGTAATTATGTTTGTGAAGAGGGTAAACTATCGGCGGGTAGCTTTTGCATACTTTATCCATACTCAGCATGGCCAGCCTGTCGGGCCTGTCTGTCAGGTTGTGCAAAACTCGCTAATTTTGGCTGCCGATCGTAGGTATGAGACAATCGGTGAGTCGTGTCCTAACCGTCAAGATATCGAAACCTTTATTTAAATATAGTTTTTCATACTTTTCTAAATGTCTGTCTTTGGCGTAAAGCCATCCAAATAGTACTACTAGCGAACGGTGAGCACTGGTATTCTGACAACGGGTAATAGATATTGTTTGATCCAGGTGCAACTTGTTTTTGCCCTCATATTCAACAAACTTGTCGCAATACTTTGATAAGTTTGTTTCAAACTTTTTTCTTTTTATATGTGTTATAAGAAAATTTAACACTGAATACAAACACAAAACAATTGTCACATAAAGCAATAGTTTAAGAAACATGTCGATTAAATTGAAATCAAAAACCAAAGTGACTGAGATAACCATTTTATAATTAGATGTATAACTTAAATACCAAGTTTAACAATATAATTATTTTATATACATTATATTTTAAAATATTTTTTTTACAATTATTCAGTGTTGTATATTAATCATATCATCATCAAGGAAAATATGAAATTTAAAATTTTAAAATAATGAGTATTTAATTATAATAATTAAGTAACTCATTTAGTGCCACTTTATTTAAGTAGTCATTAGACTAAATGACAATTTAAATATATGATATATACGATATTATTTTATATTAATAGTAATCTCATTATTAAAATTTTTTGATCAACAGGAAATTAAATGTTTTAATATTTAAATTGATCAAGGTTTATGAGTTAATATAACAAATACTATTAGGTCATACAGTATAATTCATAAAATATAATCATTACTAAATAGAACAAGGCTAATTACATTAGAGGGCAATGTTTTATACCAAAATAATGTCAATACTACCGGTTATAAAAAATATTGAATGTTTCTAATTAATCAAATCATTGTAAGTTATATTTAACACAATATAAAATTATTTTTACTTTAAAAAGTAAGCTTTTAATAATAACAACAGGTTTGTAAAATTAAGTCTAGCTGATTTAATTAGTTTTCACTTTAATTTTATATGAATTTATATAAAATCTGGCGAACATATAAAAGAATTTCAAATTTATTCATTAATACAAACACTTCTCCCATTTGATAGCCGCCCATCGAAAACGTATGAAATAGGTATGAGTCGTACCGGTCGGACAGCCCGGACAGACAGTCCAACACGTTTTGAGCGATTAATTGACTGCCGATCGTAGGTATGAGACAATCGGTGAGTCGTGTCCTAACCGTCAAGATATCGAAACCTTTATTTAAATATAGTTTTCGATACTTTTCTAAATGTCTGTCTTTGGCGTAAAGCCATCCAAATAGTACTACTAGCGAACGGTGAGCACCGGTATTCTGACAACGGGTAATAGATATTATTTGATCCAGGTGCAAGTTGTTTTTGCCCTCATATTCAGCAAACTTGTCGCAATACTTTGATAAGTTTGTTACAAACATTTTTCTTTTTATATGTGTTACGAGTAAACTGAACACTGAATACAAACACAAAGCAATTGTCACAAAAAGCAATAGTTTAAGAAACATGTCGATTAAATTAAGATTAAAAACCAAAGTGATCGAGATAACCATTTTATACTCAGATGTATAACTTAAATACCAAGGTTAACAATATAATTATTTTATATACATTATATTTTAAAATATATTTTTTACAATTATTTAGTACTGATATTTATACTGTATATTAATTTATAATTATATATCATCAAGGAAAATATGAAAGTTAAATTTTAAAATAATGAGTATTTAATTATAATAATTAAGTAACTCATTTAGTATCACTTTATTTAAATAATCATTAGACTAAATGATAATTAAAATATATGATATATACGATAATATTTTAAAACTTATATTAATAGTAATCTCATTATTAAAAATTTTGATAAACAGGAATTAAATGTTTTAGTATTTAAATTGATCAAGGTTTATGAGTTAATATAACAAATACTATTAGGTCATACAGTATAATTTATGTAATATAATTACTAAATAGAACAAGGATAATTACATTAGAGGACGATGTTTTATACCAAAATAATGTCAATACTACCGGTAATAAAACAATATTGAATGTTTCTAATTAATCAAAGCATTGTAAATTAAATTTAACAAAATACAAAATTAGTTTTACTTTAAAAAGTAAGCTTTTAATAATAACAACAGGTTTGTAAAATTAAGTCTAGCTGATTTAATTAGTTTTCACTTTAATTTTATATGAATTTATATAAAATCTGGCGAACATATAAAAGAATACAAAGGGTTGTATGACACCCAACCATTTAAGAGGTTCAGGGTAATCTGATAAATCTTTAATTAAGACACAATAAAGTACATAACCGATGAGTATAGCGAACTGTATTAACTGCAATCGTGTGATATATCGCTTCCACCATAAATAGGGCTGTATTTGGGGTCCAAATGCCGACAATAAGTAATACAAATACATGACTGTATGGACAGTAGAGTTAAGCAAACAAAACACTTCGACAATAACTGTGCGGACATAGTTTAGCCGTTAACCAACCTAATACTGGGACTAGAAAATAATAACCAAGTTGAATTAAGCCAATATTAAAATTTTAAAATTATCATAAAATTATCTGGATCTATAATGTTTTAGTTATGTGATCATAACTACCCATAAAATGGTGGTAAAGGTGTAGAAATGAGACTTGATTTGTCTTTTTTCTCAACACAAAGAATACTGTGTCCAACAAATCAAACAGTTTTGTGTAAAAATAAAACATCTTTTCATTTACTTCTCCGTCAAATGATTCAGACCATTGGTCTCTTGGGATCAGTTTAGGATCCCATGACTTGTGACCAAACTTTAGCCATCGGAGCGACGCGTATATAAAGTAGGCGTTGATTACCACTAATAAAAAGTTATATAAAATCATTATTTCCTTTAATACAAAAGGTTTCCTATTTTTCATCCAATTTGGACCGCATTTTGTGACAAAAAATAGCCACAACAGCATAATTGTAGCCATTTGTGTGGGCCCGGCATTTATGAGGGGGTAGTCTATAATACGGTGGTCCGTCTCGTCCACCCAATACTGATGCGTCCAATATATCAACGGATTTGTCACATTAATTGTCGACATTTGCATACAATACACAACTTATGAATTATTTATTAAGGACAACAAATTAAAACAAATATATCTTAAGTTATATTAAGGTTTTAAAAATTTTAATTTTAATAAACTTAATTTACATACATTTAACTTTTATTTGAATTGCAAAATACATAGAATTATCATTTCGAACAACAAATATCTATTTATATTTGTAATTAATATTGGTGTAATTGACAAGGTAGGAAGTTTATGACATAAAGGCATAGTACTGGTATAAGATGTGTCAAAATATAATTGAGAATATTGTCAAATCTTGTTCCTTAACTTATTTTTTAAGAAATAGTATTTGTGTACTAAATGTACTGTGTTATATCTTTTAATTTTTGGCTGATTGTACTGAAATATTACTATGTAATTCAACACTAGGGTTGCCAAATCAAAAAGTTCATAAACGGGAGTTTTAAATAGTTTACATATAAACTCCCGGGAGATTTCCGGGAGATGTTTATAAAGTATTATACAAAATTTTTCATATATTTTTAGCCATATAATTTTTTACTATTAAATATATAAATAGAGTTAAATGTTGACATTTTCTTTTAATTTAGTATTAGACAATTGTTTATGATTGAATAAAATTATTTATAAATTAAATTATTTGCCTAATCAATCCAGTAATTAAAGACTAAAACTTATTATAATATTTTTTCCATTTAAATCAATTATATTTAGCTTATTTTAAATTTTAACATTTTTAATATAAAAATAGTTCTTAATATAAATAAACATATATTCTCCGTAATTATGTTCGCAATGTATTTACAAAAGTGTGAATCTATAAATAATTACATTCAAACTAATCACTATTTAAATAAGCAAACTAATTTTAAGCATTCATCATTTAACAATTATATAATCCTTTTTTATATGTTTATATACATATTATGTTGTAATCTCTAATTATTGTCATTTAAATGTTATGTTTTATATGCATTTTCATTAAATCACAACTTTAATTTGTGTATAAATGTCTGAATTTTCGCCGGGGAGAAATCAATCTCAAGATAGACAGTCAACCGGGAGACGGGAGACATAAACCAATTCCGGGAGACTCCCGGTGAAACCGGGAGGTTTGGCAGCCCTATTCAACACACGAACTGATTATTAAAAAGTGAAAAATTAATTATTAAGTTTGTATTCACTAAACGTATTACATTGTGGTAAATATGAAGAAATGAGATCTAATTTGACTTTTTCCAAACACAAAGAATATGGTCTCAAATAAATCAAATAATTTTGAGTAAAAGTAAATACGTTTTTCAGGCATCTCTTGAATGGCTTTCTGTGACCATTGGTTACTCGGGGGTAGTCTTGGGTTCCATGACTTGCGGCCAAACTCTAACCATTTGAGTGAAGCGTATATGAAGTAAATGTTGTGAACAACTAATACAAACATTATCGACATAAATAAAACGTACCCTTCCCTTAACAGTTAACTGTTGTGTCGATCAAATACTGGTATAATAATAGTAACCCATAAACTATTAAATCCAAAATCATTTTTCCCTTTAGAAAAATAATAATTAGTGAAAAACTATTTAAACAAGATTTTTGTAAACAAATATTTCTTTGTATAGTTTAATAAAAATAAGCATATCATATTTATAAGTTAATTTTAATAATTATTTTATTTTATTATGTAGTACTCTAAACCATTTAAATCAAATAAATTAAACAAAAAATTATTACTAGCCAATCAAATGACTAAAATGAACAATTATAAAAATTAATTTAATTAGTCCATCTTATTAACAAAATTAGTTTTTACTTTATTTTTATATGAATTTATGTAAAACTTTGAAAACATATAGAAGAACACGAAGGGCTGAAAACCACCCAATAATATCATAGGTAATGGATAACCATCGAGATCTCTATGCCATCCATGCATTAAACCCCAAAAGATACAACCGATGAGTATAGCGAACTGTATTAACTGCAATCGTGTGATATATCGCTTCCACCATAAATAGGGCTGTATTTGGGGTCCAAATGCCGACAA